CACATTGCAAGGGTTAGGGTTAGGGGTACATGTGTCCAAGCCCAAGTCTGTATGGCTATCAACATGTCCCCCCCCCCTTATAAAGCCACCAGGAGTCAACTGAGGAACCTCCCTCCACCTAATGACCTAATCTAATTTAATCACTTTCTAAGACCCTACCTCTAAACACCATGGTTAGATTACTTTTCCAACCTCTCAATACCATTAATTTAAGACTTTGGGATTTAAACTCTTGAGTGAATTTGAGCAAAAATTATTCAAACCAAAGAATTGAAATTACCTTGGCAGATTATTAAGCAAGAGATCAAATGGCTCAGAAGGTTGAATGAATTTAGCAGGGATGACTAGAGAGCTCATTGCCATACAGTGTCCCCAGGGAGTCTCGCAGGACCCTGCTCACACTGCCTGTAAGAAATGCACCAGTGAAGAAAGGCTTTACCTCCGTGCTTTGTGGCTGTAACCAGTGGCAGTGGGACAGAAGTGACGAGAGGAGATGCTGCTGTGAAGCTGGCTCCCAGAGGTTTCCAACACAGCATACCCCACGCAGCTCACCTGAGCATCAGAGGCAAGATGGAGTAGTCACCAACATGAGTAGCAAGGCTGGAAGAGTGCCAGAGACTGGACACCCAGGGGCCTGTGGAGATGAGTGACAGGCTGTGGTCTTTCTAAAGCAGCAGTCCCCAACTTTTTTGGCACAGGGAACTTGTTTCACAGAAGACAATTTTTCCACAGACTCGGGGTGGGGGTTACTTTCCTTTTAAAAATTGGTATATGTTTATGATACATAATAATTACATTCCCAGGACTAGCATCACCATCTCAGATCATCAAGAATCAGATTCCCATTAGAATACACAGCCTACATCCCTTGAACATGCAGCTCACGTTAAGGTTTGTGTTCTTAGAGGAAACTAATGCCCCTACTCATGACAGCACAGGCAGTAATGTGAGTGATGGGCCGCTACTGTAAAAACAGGTGAAACTCCCCTTGCTCACCTCCTCTGTGCAGCACAGTTCCTAATAGGCTAAAACCAGTACTGGTACATGGCCAGGGGTTGGGGACCCCTGTTCTAGAGGCAAGGCAGATGGGCAGACAGTGGGGTGCTGACTTCAGAAGGATAAGTAGATGTATGAGATTAGCTATCTTGATGGAAAAACCATGATCTCTCCCCTAACTTTTGTGCCTAAGACATTTTCCAGACCCTGAGCCCATGGATTGAAGAGAAGAATGGTTCCCTTGAGGGAAGACCCTGAAGGTCTACACAGTGGGAGTCTCAACCTTTCCTCTGTGGGCATTTACCAGAATAACTTTTATATGAGGGAAAGGGAGTACCTAGGTCTTTCAAGAACTGTAGGATATAGCATCAGAACTGACACTGAACACTGATACCAGGAGACCCAAAATACCACTATAAATCCCCAATTAGAGTGGTGTTGTGGATTGAATCAAGAATGTTCTTCATAGGGCCGGGGATTTAGCTCAGTGGTTCCGGCGCCTGCCTCAAAAGCACAAGGTCCCAAGTTCGATCCCTGGTACCAAAAAAAAAAAAAAAAAAGTGTTCTTCATTCTTGGCACAAGAAACCCTCATGTGCTCACAGGGTTTTGGGAAGGTGACTGAATTACTGGGCAATATAGCTGTCTTGCTGTCTGGTCAAAAAAGGCAGGTCACTGGCCTCATGACTCAAAAGGTATATCTCCCTCTCTGGCATGCCCCATTCACTCTCTGATTTCTGGATGCCATGACATGATCAGCTTTCTTCCTCTACACCCCTCTGCTATGCTGTTTTTTCCCTGGATTTGGCTGACCATTGACTAACCATGAGCCAAAATAAACCTCTCCTTTTTTAAGATGTGGGTGTCAGATATTATGTCTCAGTGACAAGCAAAGGTACCAGAGAAGTAGGGTTGTTTCTGTGACTATCTGACTATGGAAAGTTTAAACAGAGGAGTGCCTTAGTATCAAGCTTCTCTGGGGGCCACTATGAGACAGAGAAGTGGCTTCTCTCCCTCACTCCAACATGGGTGCAGCTGGACTACCAGTATGGCCCCCTCCCCTGCTTCAGTTGCCTTTTTGAAGAATTCAGAGGGAGCCCTGGCATGGCTAAGGTAAGAGAGAAAGGAATCTGGGCCCTGCTTCTTTCCTTTGTTCCTTTAGCCCTGAGAGTGGCACCTGCTTCCTGTGGTTACTAATCCCCTGATAGCTCAACCTTCTTTTTTACTATTTCAGTTACCTAGTTAACAACTGTATATCCAGTCATCTATTCCTTATATTAAATCCTCCCTGTTCTAATAATTTGAGTGGCTTCTAGCTATTGACTGTACTCTTATTCAGCTTTAGAAATTGTCATTTTTCTTTTTCTTTCTTTCTGTTTTTTTTTTTTTTCAGTCAGGGTCCCACTATGAGGTTCAGACTGGACTTGAACTCACTGTGTAACCCGGGCTGGCCTTGAATTCTCAGTGATCCTCTTGCCTCAGCCTCTCAAGTGCTGGGGTTACCAGGGATGGGCCACCATACTTGGATAGAAATTATAGCATTTCTAAGAATTTCTAAAAATTGATATCATACAGAGATTCATAGAAAAGAAACTTTTCCCAACTATAACATAAAATTAAAAGGCACAAAAGAAACAAAAAGTGGATAAATTTCACTTTATAAATGATTTCTGAATGGAAAAGGTGACTTAAGAGATTCTACAGATAAACAAGAAAGAAACTACCAATCAAAAAACGGGCAAAGTGAATGACTAAAATATTTATTAATAAAAAATACAAATAACTTCTTAAAAATAAAATTTTATTTTGGGATAATTTTAGATTTAAAGAAAAGTAGCAATGATAGTACAGAGATTTCTCAATTATCTTAAATGTTAACAGCTTACTTTAACATCTGAGGTTTCTTAGAACTAAGGTTTTGGGTTGGGGATATAGCTCAGTGACAGAGTGCTTGTCTAATATGTGCAAGGGCCTGTGTTCAAGCCCACGATAAAAGAAGATGAAGAAGAAAAGGAAGAAGGAGAAAGAAGAGAAAACAATACTAATGCATTAATTTTAGTACATTACCATTAACTAAACTACATGCTTTGCTCACATTTTGCCAATTTGCCTCACTTTTTCTCTGTTCCAAGATGTAATGTAGTTCTCCTGCCCACTGCATCTACACGTCTCCTGGTCTCTGATGGTCTCCAGATTAACAGTTCTGACAGTAGAGGTTGGTATTTTGTAGAATGTCCTTTAGTTTGGTCCTGTCTGGGGATTTTTTAATATTAGACCAGGATTACGCGGAAAAGATGGGCGCCTCTTCTCACATGGCATCAGGGCCGCGCTGTCATCAGTGATGCTAACCTTTCTCACTTGGACAACATCCCCAAATGTAAAATAAACATGCATGAGTCCAGTTAAGGTGCTGCCTGCCAGGCCCCAGACTATAGCTTGTTGCTCCCCTCCCCACACACAATCCTATCTTTAGGAAGCTGTCCACCAGGTTCAGAGAGACGAATTAAACTTCACCTTCTGGACAGAAAAATATTTGTATGTATTTTGGGAATTCTCTAAGAAAAATAGTCTCCTCTCTCTCATTTATTTTTCTGGGCAATTATTTATTCATATCCAGGTGGACCCATCTGTGTGTATGTGTGTGTATATATATATATTTTGTTTGTTTGTTTGTTTGTTTTTCCTGTACTGGGGATTGAACTCAGGACCTTGCGCTTGCAAGGCAGGCGCGGGGCCACTGAGCTAAATCCTCGGCCCCTATTTTATATTTTGGGTTACTGCTCAATACTACATTGGCCTCCTTGCTTTGGTGCTGTAGCAAGAAGCAGCACACTAGGGCAGAGAGGTAGAATTGGAAGCTGAGCAAGGCTTAGTCTCAGAGTCAGAGGTAAAAAGAGCTGGGGTCCCACTCCCTTCAAGGCCACGCCCTCACCGACAGGAAGATCTTTCACTGGGCCCCACCTCTTAAAGGTTCCACCACCTCCCAGTAGTGCCAGGCTGGTCCTTAACACACGGGCCTTTGGGAGACATTTAATATCTAAACTATAGCAATACTCATATATATGCTTTAGTTTATATGCATAAAAACTGTATGCAGTATATTCAGTTAATAAATAATATTAGTTGCCTATGTGTGGTTAGCTAGGGAAGAGGGATAGAAGAAATAGTTTTCCTTGAAGAATTTTTTTTCTGCTTTTCAGTTTGAAAATTTTAAACATATTACTTATCCCTCACTGACAGAAAAAATCCTAGACCTCTCTTGTCATTCATGAGTAGGTTTAAAAATTTAAAACTAGGTAGAACTGTATAGTGAGGGAAATTGATACCTATCAAGTATGTGGGATGCTACCAGGCAACACTTGTAGGGAAACTCACAGCCACGAATACTCAGCAGAGAGTGGCCGAGGACAGTGAGCTTTCCAAATGAGGTCACCCGAAAGAGAGGTGTCTTTTGTCAAATCTGTCCTTTAGCCACTGTTTTTAAGAACACTGATAAATAATAAATAAGGTTTAATTCTGTCTCTAGCAGTTTGAAGAGCTGCAAGTTGTTCTTAGTGGTCAGTGAGTACAACCTGCTCATTCACTGGAGAACTAAGGCCAGAGACTTCAGCTCTGTGACCTCACCTCCTCTGACCACCAAGGTGCCCCACCATACCCCATTCATCCTGTATTCAGGGGCACCCAAGCATAAGCAGCCTCAGTACTGTGCTCCAGGGAAGTGGCTGAGGCTCAGCGTTTGGAAGCAGTGACCAGATGTGATCTGCCTTTCTGGCAGGAACCTTTGTTTCTGGTGAGGAACTTTTGTGTTCCCAGTACAAGGACTCATGCTGGGACGGCAGCTTTCTGGCAGATGAGGTGGCCCCAGGAGCCTGCTGTCTGGAGGATTAGAGGGGAGAACGCTGATCCTTTACTGAGTCCTGCATGGAGGAGGCACCCAAGAGCCTCACCCAGTCTACCATTCAGCACTGTCCCCTGCACAGCCTGGACATACCTGGATCTCAGAGAGACCCAGGAGGGAAACCAGAAAGGCTGTCCTTGGAAAACCCCAGGGCACAGAGGGCTTGGGGTCCAGAGACCACGGAGGTGGGCGTTTTCCCACCTGTCACCTGGATCACTCAGAGGCCAGAAGCCAGAGGCTGGCCTGAGCAGCAGGGACTAGTGCACCGGGCATCTGGGGTGCAGGTGCCCAGCAGACACCAGCTGGCAGCTACCCGGGAATGGGCACCGGAGGAACACCCAGGAATACTGAGCAGGGGAGAGAACTTTGCAGAGATCTGAGAGCCCAAATAAGATGGGAGAAGAACCCAGCCCAGGTACTGTGGGACTGAGTCTGTGCGCTTGGGCTTCGAGGCCTTTGAGGAGCCAAAGCTCAAAGCCCATGGAGCACATAGAACAGCTTTCGCCTGGGCCCATCGCAGCCCCCACCAGCAGTTCCAACCTTCTGAAATACAGAGCAGTCTCAACCTTCTCAAAGAACAGAGAAAAAACCCCTCTGTGATTTACAATACAGACAAGATCACACATAAAAGGTTACTTTAGTCCTGAATTTAAAATTTACGCTTGCTCTAAAAAGTACACATTTGCGAGTATTTTCACTTTAGGATATTATAAAAACGATTTTCCAGGGCCTTAAAGATTCCTATTTTGAATTACAGAAAGGAAAGTGGAAGCAGTTGCTATTTGAAAATTGGAATAAATGGCAACAGAATGGTGCCAAAAGCGAAGACATGATTTTATGGGCAAAACAGATTTCTTAAGGCAATATCAAAAGGCCCAAGTTGAGTAGTTACTTTGAATATCCTAATTTCAAAGAAATTTGCCTCCTTTTTGCTGCAACACTTTGCTTTGTCAGAGCACACAAGCACAAAAATGCTTCACTACGAACATGTTATTAAGCAAAAACAAATTTTATGCCTATAAATCTGCTGAGCCCACTCCCAGAAAATTGATGGAGCAATCTTGGGTGGGACTGGCAGGAGGCCAAGTGTCCCAGGGACTGGGAGCTGTTGGCATGCACAGCCACAGGCAGTGGAGGAGACCTCATGGGGAACCTGAGTACTGGCTGGAAAGCAGGAAACATTTGATGGACAGCCAGGCTCCCTCAGCTGCCCAAGCACCACTGGGGCTCCCCGCAAAAGAAACAAGGGCCCTCCAGAAATATCCCAGCCAGACCAGTTCACCCCGGTAGCAAGCAGCTCCAGGAAACCATGCTCCTCGGAATGTCAAGACCTCTGACAGGGCTGCACTTCCTCAGGAAACAGCAGGGCACTAGGGTTTCTGGCATAGGAATAAATTTGAAGGTCGGGGTCCAGTTGGTTGGGTGCAAATTCATATCTTGGCTTGAAGACCAGTTTGGCCATAGCTGGTAAAATAGAGAAGCAAACATTCTCAGTTCCCTCTGCCTTTGCATTTCCCTTACAGATGCCCCGAGTACAGACACATGCATGCGTGCACAAACTCACACAATATAATCTGTTCATGTTTTAGTGGAAAACTTGGAATCATCTGAATACCCATCAATAGAATGGATCCATAAAATATGGTGTGGTCAAAGAATGGAATGTTATACAACCAGGTAAAATGAATGAACTGAAGCTGCCAAGCTTCGATGTGGATCAGTCTCACAAAGGTAGAAAAAGCATATTATGTTACTGAATGTGTTGAATAACGCTATTTCTATAAAATTCAAAAGCACACAAGACAGGACCACACATTGCTTCTAAAGACGTCCATATGCAGTGAAAGAGGGGACCCTGCCTGGAATGGGTAACATCAAGGGCAGAGAGCAAACCCTCGGGGAGGAGAGGTGTGAAGGGCAGAAGACACAGCCTCTGGGAGGGGTTATAACCACTGGTTTCTTACAGGGATAGTCATTGTGTTCATTATAATTGTCACTCTTTCTGTATGCTTGAAATATGTCATTAAAAACAACAGCCAAGCCAGACACGGTACCATTAGTCTGTAATCCCAGCACTCTGGGAGGCTGAGGCAGGAGGATTGCAAATTCAAACCCAGCCTGGGTTACATAGTGAATTCAAGGTCACCCTGGGCTACAGAGTGAGACTCAGTCTCAAACAAAACAAAACAACAACCCAAAGGTAGAAACAACCCAATATCCATCAGTGGGTGAGTAGTGGGGTTGAGTGAAAGTGTACTCGAGATTCGGTCTCATCAGGACTGGCAGTGACAGTCACCCAGAAGGTAATGTATGCTCACAGGTCCTTCTCATGTAGGGACTCCAGGAGAAGCACCGGGCCTGGCCAGGACAGATGTCAGAGCGCACGGGAGGCTTTACTGGGTTTTCTCAGGCAGGAGCTGGAGATCTGGGTCCGTGCGCTGGGTAAGTTCAGAGTGGATAGTTTGGGTGATTTTGGTCCCAGGTGTCCAGTCCCTGGTGCTGGGGTGATTAGGGAAAAGAGGAAGATTCTCTTGGTAGGAGAGTTTGTGAGGAAGGAGAGAACTGTAGCCTTGGGCTCCACCTTGACTGGTTTGCACAGAAAAATTGTTCTCAAAGGGAAATCTAGGAACTGGCCAGCCCTGGGCCAGGCAGTCCCTCCAGAATCAAGGTCCAAATGCCAGAGCATTCAGAATACAGAAAATTAAAAAATCACAGCCCATACAGTAATATATATACATGCATATATAGACAACAGAATATTAGCCTTAAAAAGGAAGGAAATTAAGTCTAGCACGGTCATCCATGCCTGTAGTCCCAGCTATGTGGGAGGCTGAGGCAGGAGGATCACAAGTTTAAAGCCAGCCTTTGTAATTTAACAAGACCCTGTCTCAAGAAACAAAACAACGCTGCCTGCCTCGCAAGTGCAAGGACCCAAGTTCTATCCCTGGTAACAAAAAAAAAAAAGGAAGAAAAAAGAAACAAAACAAAACAAAACAAAAAATTTTAAAGGAAAGAAATTCTGATACATGCTATGTACAGCATAGATGAAGATATCATGCTGAGTGAGGTAAGCCAGATACAAAAGGACAGCTGCATATGATTCCACGAATATGAAGTTCATAGAGTGGTCAGATTCGTGGAAGCAGAAAACAGAATAGGGCGTAGCAGGGCTGGAGATGGAGAAAGGAGAGTGGAGGGGTTGTTTATCGGGGACAGAGTTTCATTGGGGATGATGAACGTTCTGGAGATGGTGGTGATGACAGCTGTACAACAGTGTGAATGTTCTTACTGACTCTGAAATACAGGCTTTAAAAGAGTTAAAGATTACCTCGGTGGTTCTGCCACCTGCCTCGCAAGTGGAAGGACCCAAGTTCGATCCCTGGTACCAAAAAATAAAACAAAATAAAAGAGTTAAAGGTCAATTTAAGCCCTGCATACTTTATTCTATTAAAAATCCACACTGCAAGTTAAAAGCAGAGACATATGAGTCTTTTCAGCTGTTACATGTAACTGAGGCCTTCTCTAAAATAACCAAGTTGTTCAGAATATATTAGATAAAACACTGATAAAAGACCAAATGAAAATGCAGGGATTTACAGGAATTACTGCTAAGGTCAAGGTGACAGTGAGATCCAGGCTGAGGATTTCCTACCTTTTCCATGACACTGGGGACCCCGGAGGCCCCAGGCAATGAAGTGCTGTCTCCCTTGAGCTCCATGCTGGGCACACGAACTCCACAGCTTCAGTCCGATGGGTTCCACCCACACTGATTAGGGCACGGCACGGTGGCCCTGCTCCAAGGAGCAATGACTCAGACTCGGACTAGGCTGCTGCCCATGGGGGAAGTGGGGGGGCAAGGGACACAAGGTAGGTTGGCCAGGGAGCCTTGAGAAAAGGCAGAATGTGTTTGGGGCTCCCAGGGCCTACAGAGAGCATCACAGAGTCACACAGAACACGGTGCCTCCAGGTGACAGCATGGGGCATTTTGGGAGTCACAGAGGTGCGTGGCTGGAGTAGAACGAGAGATGGGTGAAGAGGTATGTTGAGTCCTTACATAAAAGATGCACCATGACTTAGCAGACTGGTCGCTCTGGATAGTGTCATGGCTTCAGACACCACCTATACTCCATGACAGCCCAGCCCCTCGGGGCCCCAGACTCACATCCACAGCCTACTTGACAACGCCACTGGGCATCTAGCAAATATCTCCCTCACCCTCTCAATAATGGGAGCACTCCCTCCCAGCTTCAGGGAAACCTGCAGGCATCCTTGATTTCTCCTTTTTCTTTCTCTCTTTGCCACTGTCTTGGGTTTCTGGAACCATTTTAACCAGATACCCATAAAAGCCAGAAGCCAGGGCAGTCGTGTAGCTCATGGGGCTCTACGTTCCAACCCCAGCACTGTGAAAAGGAACTAAATAAATATAATCAGGGGCACCTAGGAGATTCTGCCCATCTGGGGCCACCTTTCCAATGCCTGAGTGGCTGGAGGTGTGAGGGCCTGGCTCCTGCTCCTTGAGGGGGGTGAACTCTGTGACAAGGTCCAGCTCCACAGCATCATGTGAGGTCAGGCTCAGCCCGCACCTGAGCTCACACTTCTCCCCCTTCCCTCGTCCTGTGTGCCCTGTGACTCCACACATCGCTTACTCAGCTGCCTGCTCTGACAAGGCAGAAACTCACACAGCAAGTTAAGCAAAGCAACTCTGTTACTCAGAGACAGGCAGCAAGAAGCCTGGGGTCACAGTGAGCAGGGCCTCAGGGGTAGGAAAGCTGGCTGGGGCAGGGGGAATCCATCTGCCTGTGTCCCAGGAAGCTCCGAAGCTGAGGGACCTGAAAGGTACCACATTCTGGGTTTTATACTCGGGGAAATGAGCCACTGAGCTGCAGTTTCAGGGCAACCTGCTCTAAGGGGGGTGGCAGCAGAGGCCAGTCTGTCTAATCCGTTTCTCCTAACCCAGGCTGCTGTGTTCCCAGCCTGATCTACAGTTATTCCAAAAGTACAAGCAAGAGAGGGGGAACAGTGGAGTGATCAAGGCTCCTGGGGGCCTGTCCTGTACTGCCTCTTCTTGTTTCTCCCAGGAGCACTTCTGTAGTAAATCCTGTGCATGTGAGTCCACATAACATAGTCCACACCTTGGAGAACCCAGTCAAAAAACCTGCCATCAGCTCTATTCCCCAATACTATGATCTAGCTCTAATATATTTCTTTTTATTAAACTGGGCATGTGGCACATGCCTGCAATCCCAGGACTCTAGAAGGCTGAAGCAGGAGGATCAAAAGTTTGACCCTAGCCTGGATAACTTAGCAAGACCATGTCTCAGAATAAAATAATGATAATAATGGTAAATAAAAATTTTTAAAGGGATTGGGGATGTAGCTCAATACAAAGGCCCAATCAATCTCCAGCACCGCCCCCCCGCCCAAATCTCTCTACCTCCAGGTCTCCTTCTAGTGCAGAAAACTTTCAGCTCATGCCTGGACACAGCAATGCCCCCTAACTAGTCTTCCAGGTCCTTTCTTGCCTCTCCTCGTCTCCAACATTACCACCGAGGGAAAATCACCCCTTACATCGTGAGTCCACCCCAGCTCCTCCTGTGCCCCCTCTGGCTGTGGTGGTCCCTGCAGTATCACCAGCCACAGTGCCAGTGAGAATGACTCCATCCACACACCTTGTAAGCAAAGATTGATCCTTTAAATACTCCTAAAGCTGGGGCCAGATCTGAGCAGAGGGGCAGGTACAGAGCAGCCCAGCTTCAGGCCCTGGGCTGATACCTGGTTGCAAGAGGGTGATGTGATCAATGTCATGTGTCAACTTGACTGGGCTACGGGACACCCAGAGGCATGGGCAGGCAGCTGGCTAAACGTTGTCTGCAGAGTGCATCTGCAAAGGTGCGTCCAGAGAACAGCATTGGAACAGGTGGACTGAGCAAAGCAGAGGGCCGTCCCCATGGTGGGCACCATCCAACCCCCGAGGACCTGAGTGGAGTACGGGGCCAGGCCAAGTGGAAACCTCTCTCTGCCTGATGCTTGGCTGGGACTGTGAGCTTCTGTCCTGGCTGCTCCTGGTTCTTGGGTCTTTAGACCCACACTGGAGTCTCTTGCAAATGGTCTATGGTGAGATTTCTCAGCCTCCTTGGTCATGTGAGCCAATTCCCCTAATAAATCCCCTCTCAAATAGCTCTGTATATCCCGTTTGCTCTGTTTCTCTGGGTAACATGGACACATTTTCTTTAATAGGTATTTTTAAACTTGTTTTAAAAATCATGTATTTCAAACATTGTTAAAGCTTGGAGAAGGAAATCTTTTTACAAAAAAGAAAATTTCAGAGATGGGGAGAAAGAATATCTTGTCATCCTGTGAGAGGGAAAGAGTCCTTCATCTGCCCCCTCAGTGTCACTGGTGTGGGGGAAGAGATCAAAGCCTGGAGAAAGGGGAGGGGGTGACTTCCTGCCTCTCCTCAGTCCCTTCCCAGCCTCTGTTCCTTCACTTCTTCACTGAGCTGGGAAGACCAAGCTCCCCCCTTTCTAATGGCTGTCAAAGCTATCCCCAAAGTCATGTTCGAAAAAAGCCCCAGAGAATGTTCTTTCACCTGCTGCATGGAGGCCTCCTTCATAAAAAAGAGGTGGCCAGGCCAGTAGGCCCACGGGCAGTGCTACCTCTGCCCTATGCCAGGAGTCCTGGACATGTGCAGGACAGAAACAGGTGTGGGGACTTCCGGTGTCACAAGCCTGGGAGGAGGTAATGCCTGGGTGGGGATATGGGAAATGCACATGTCCTACAGTGGGCAAGGTGGCCCCACACAACCTAGGGTCATCCTGGTTTTGCAGGGATGGGATGGATTGAAAGTCATTTTAAATCACTGTAAAATTACTGTTGTTTTTAAATGTTAAAATCTGGCCTTTCCAAAATTGAATCTTATTATAAGACCCTGTTTATAATCAGTTATCACCTGAAACCTTGTGTCATTTATCTTCTGTTTTTGTTGCTGTCACTAAATACCTGATACACTCAGGATTACAGCTGCCATGTGAAATAAGAGGCTGTACTCGGTCTGGCTCTGATCTATCCCAAGAGTGAGTCATCCATTCTGAAGGCTGTGAGGTTCCGCAGGTGGAGTTTGGGGATCAGGCTTATGCTCGCTGACGGTCTGAAGACTGTTGCTCAGGCTTGGTGTTGAGTTAGCCTGGGGCCCATGGAATCTCTCAGCTGGCCCGATGCCAGACCCCTCTCTGGTTCCAGATGAACCGCCATCCCTCACTCCCACACCACTGGTGCACATCTTGTCACCAAGCATGGTGGCCAAGCTGACTGTCTTCGCTCTTGACCTGTCTCCTTCACAGTTCACTGTGCATAGGCCCCGGATGATACAGGGTGAACGTCACCCAACTTCACATACACAAAGAGAACTCCAATGGAGCTCTTGGGTGGTGACCAAGTCTCATTCCCTGAGAACATGACTCAGTTTCCTGGATCCATGTGATCTGGGTGGGGATGCAGTGGGACGAGTGCTGACATGGTGGCCCTTATGATTGCATCATCACGCCGATGGCTTCTCTGGAGGCACCCAGCTGCAATTACATCTTCCCCTCTCACTATTTATCCTAAATGGCACCCAGGGACCTCTTGAATCTATGAGCTAAAGTTCTTCATCAACTCCAGAAAAATATTGGCTGTGATCTCTTCAGACATTGTCCCTGCACCGTTTCCTTGAGTTTCACCTCCTGAGGCTGCGGCTGGTTACACAGTAATCCACTCTGTCTCCTACATCTTTTCTGAGTTGTTCATTCTTTTGTTTCTGCATGCATTGTTTTATTTGGTTTATTCTGGCCTATATTCCAGTTCACTAATTCTCTCCATACCCAGATATGATAAGATAATCACTGAGTTCCCACTTTAGGAATTAAGAATTCCACTGAATTCCTCTTTTTAGTTACTTTTTGGTTCTAGAATTTCTATTTGACTCTCTGTCAAGCCTGTGATATCAGTTTTGCTGCTGCCGCATTGTTTTACCAAAAATTCAAGCATAGCCTGGATCTTCTTGAGCAGAGTAGTATCGTTATTTTATGGATTTCCATTTTTGTAGTACATTGTATACAGGGTCTCTCTCTGTTTCTGCTGGTTCTTGCTCCAAGTATCATGAACATTTATATGCCTATTTTTGAATGTGTAGTTTACATCATATTTTAAAAAGTAATTGTATTATGGAGATGGGAAGGGGATTTGGGAATGAGGGAGACAAGAAGGGAGGGAGGGGAAGAAGTAAAAATGATTAAGTACAATATGTGTAGGTACCAATCCCCCAAGATGAGTGTAATTATTCTGTATCACAAACATGTACTAATAAAAAAAAGAAGCTAAAATATGCAATGTAGAAAATAC